GCTCGGTTGGGTGGCAATGAGATGTCGGAGGACTGGCTGGCGTTGAAATAGCGCGGTGGGGAAGCAGGGGGCTGCTTGCCGGTGGGTCCCTATCTTGGAGGAGTCCCTTTTCGGCGCCGATCTAAGGAGCGAGGGAGGGGCGAGCTGCGGCGGTGGGATGTGTGTGCCACACAAAACATCACGGGCCTCCTTGGTGGTAGCAGAGCATTAATTTCTGTGGGAGTTTCGGAGGCTCTGCGCCGCTCTGCGTCACTACGCGCTCCTGAGAGCGGCCTCGTCGCGGCACCCCTGAACGCTGCCTGTGATGCAGTGCAGTGTGCACGTTGCATTGCCTGCGCGCTGCGGGGCCAGCTTCCTTGGTTGTGGTGCAGCCTTCCCACGACGCCTCCTGCCCCTGAAGCCACTCAAACAAAAGGCAAGGCCTGCCCCTCCTCCGAGACCCCAAGGGACTTGATTTTTCCTAAGTTCCTCACCGAAAGGATATAAAAAGGTCTCCACCAACGTCCCATAAAGGATCAGAAGGGAAATAGGAAACCTTCTTGCAGCCAGCCAGTAGTTTCTGTTGCGGGGAGCTGAGCCGAGTGATGTGAATACCTGGGTCATTGATCAGATTGTATTTAAAGATAGGGGCAGGATTTGACCCTGTGTTTCCTTTAAGACTGACGTAGCGTTACGCCACTCTGACTCAGTGTCCCATATAAATCTTCCAACTAATAAAGATGCTTCCTTAAAATAAAATGTCCGGACCTGGCTTGTGGAGTCAAGCTTCCCACCCCTCTCATTGAGTCCCAGGCGTTTAGGACCTTCATTCCTGGCCGTAGGCAGCGTCAGGGCCCCCGGTCCGAGTGACAGTGGGGTGGCCGCTGCCTGTTGCTTCCATGGGGGAGCTGGCATCTGTCGTGGCTCTTGCGCCAGCTTCTGGCTTGCGGGAGCTGGGTGGGGAGGCTGGATCCTGCTCTGTCCCGCAGGCAGCATGCGGGGAATAGGTGCAATTTGGTCCAAGGCAGTCCACTCTTGTTTAGGAGACATTGGCACCAAGGGCAGAGGGGGTGCGTGGCTGCCGCTTCTTGGGTCCGGCTGGCAGGTCCACCGCGGAGGGTTGTGCAATGGGCACGGTCTTGCAGCCCCCTGGGCACAGGCGCTCTGTTTACTTCAGGGTATGTACTGTACTGTGCCCTGTCCTGGGCTTGCGTTAAGGCCAGAGCTATCCTGTTGCTGATGCAGCTCATGATTATCTGCTATGAAACCCATACCTTCCCCAAGGCTTGGCTCTGTCCCAAGCCACTCTCTGTTACCAAGCTCCTGTACCTGGCCCCACTAGACTAGGACACGAGTGTCCTTCCTGTTGCTTTGCCTCCAGCGTTCTCTCTTTGCTCAGGAGTTACAAAAAGGGTTTGGGTTTATTCGGACTTTTTTTTTCCCTGGAGCCCACGGGAGCTGCTGGGCGTCTGTTGCAGCGTCGGTGTTGGGACATAATTTATTCAAGCCATTTGCTTGATCTTGGTTTCAGTTTTTTAGGCCGTTGGTGGCTTTCATCTTGGGACTCCATCTCGCTTGAAATTGTGCTGATGAACACAGAGCTGGCGTGCTGCGCTGCCCCAGCCACAAGCCTGGCGTTAAATCGCCGCCCCCCTCCCCTCGCGCAGGTCAGGCGTGTTGTGGATACAGCAGCTGGTGCAAGGGGTTGAAGAACCCATGAATGGCTCGTTTGTTCAGGCATGTGCTTTTCTTTCGGAGCCGGGGGGTGGTCTTGCGAGATGCCGAGGGACCCTCTGTGTCTCTTGGCCTGGAGTTGTGTTTTGTTTCTGCCTTCTCTGCATCACCCACGGCTCTGCTGCAGCCTGATGTAACCGCTCTCTCGCCCGGTGCTGGGGTGGTGTTCTATAACGGCATCATGCCACATGCAACCTGTTGCTGGGGGAGAGGCTGAGAAGTTAGACATTTTGAACAAAAGACCTAAGTGAAAAAATATGCGGAGGAGGGGAGAAGAAGCAGGGCGGGGGGGACGGACCACTTGAAAAGGAGGTGGAAGGCTATAGGAACACTGAAGGGAGGGGAAAAGGAAATGCTTTAGAAGTGTGTTGAAATTCCCAGTTTGACTTTCAACGCTGCCTTTGGGTTGCAGCCTTTTGCTGGTGCAAGCCTCTAAATAGCTGCCAGTCAGTGGCATCGGGGCAGCGAACCCTTGCATTGTGAGCTGCCTGCGGCGCTTACTCCCTGAGCTCTTGCAAGAAACAAACTCCTGGATCCGGCCGGCTCCTGTCTGCAGTGCAGGCTGGCTTCCAGGGGCTCCGCGCTTCCCTCTCTCGGGCCGCCCAGCCCAGCGTGGCTGGTGTCCAACTTGCATGGAAAGTAAACACGCGATTTCTAGCTGGTTCTAGCTGTGAGCGAGGCTCGTGCCAAGCCCTGCTGATTGGCTGCGGGGGAGCTGCTCCCTGAGATCCGATACGGTCCAAGGGCTCTGGCTTCCTCGCTGACATGGCAGCGGGGCATGTGTTTTTCTTTTGGGGAAAAAAAGTTCCACCTCCACCCAGGCAGATTTCATAATGCTGGAAAGGCTTGCCGTCGCTCTCTGGAAGCCGTGGGGGGAGCTGGCCCGTGGGTCTGTAGCTCTGTGCTTTCCGTTCCAGCAGAATGGGGGGGGGGGGTCTTGCCAGAAGTGGAGGCAGGGAGGGGTAAAGTTAGAGCTGGAGGCAGGGAAGAGACCAGGGCCCTGGCATCCTGGCTCTTGGCTTCATACCTATCACACCTGAACATCTGTTTTCCCTTCATTCGAGGCAAGTGGCTTCCTTAGCAGTTCAGGCCAGGGAGAGTCCCCAGTGTGATGACCCGAGGCTGGGAGAGCCTGGGCGAGGCAGCACAGTGCAAGCTTCCTGCTCTTCTCCAGCTCGTCTTGCATTTTATTGCTGAGCGCTAACCCTCCTTTGTTGATCCCAGGCTTGAGCCGCCTTCCAAGGAGGCCAGTTGGTAACTCTTCACTTCCTGGTTCGACCTGGACCAAATGCTGTTGCTTTCTGGCCCAGGCTACAGTTGACTTCCAGGGCTTTGGAAATGTGATCCAGGCTGGCTTCCATCCTCTGGCCCTGCCACCAACTTGACAGCTCAGGGTTCATTCGGCTAGGCTGGGCTACACCTTCTGCTGCAGGTCCGCTGTAGGCACTGGTCTGGGCTGCAGGCCCGCTGCCCTTGGCTCTGGTCCCCTGCCTGTGAATCGGGGAGCCCTTCCAGCCAAAGCTGTGCATAAAGGACTCTCTCCAGTCCTGGGGTGGCAGCACTAAACTGTGCCCATTCCCGAGATGAGTTTGCAAACAGTGCTGAGCAATCCCTGACTCTTCTTCCACCCCTTTCCAGGCCCCCTGGATGATGCTCAGCTCAGCTCGGTTCCCTCCCAAGTCCCTGCTGATCCAGGGGGTGAGCGAGTGTCTGGGTTCAGGCTCTGCTGCTTTGCTGAGCCAGCCAGGTGATATCTGGGAGGAGGCCTGAACTGGGAACCCTGAGCGAGTGAGCAAACAGGGCGTAGGAGTGCAAAGAAGGAGAGGATGGTGTGAGTGGCTGGGCCTGTTGCTCTAACCCTTACAGCAAGGAGGCTTTAAGCTTATAGGAGCTTAGTTATACCTGAGCAGTCACCTGTCCCTCTTGGCTCAGCCACCTGCCCTGCAGTTCCCTTATACACGAACACTCAGATACAGCTCTGGCTCCAGCTAGAGGGACACCAGCTGATTTGGGGCCCTGAGGTCATGCACGGTCTGGTTCATGCTCTATTTTTGCTCCGTGTCATTGGTATCGAGGCAGTCTCTGGGCAATGAAGCTGCACACTCTGACATGTCAGAAGTGCTTGCACAGATGTGGGCTGGGGAACTGGGCAGTTGTGAGGCAGGATGCCCAGGCCCTGGTTTTGCTTCTCTGACCTTGAGGAGGCTGAGCTGAGGAGCCTGTGCCTCGGTTTGCTGTCTGTGAAATGGGTAGAAAGCTGTCTGCTCAAGGGTTCCCAGGCCAAATGCCAAGAATGAGGTTCTCCAGGGTGGCTGGAAAGCTGGCAGTGGATTTAGTTGCTTCTGGCTTCCTTCCCATTGTGGCCTAGGTGGAAATCACAGTGAAGGGCAGTGGGGCTGGGGGAGGGGGTATGTCTTCTCTTTGGCATGACCCAAGCAACCCTACACCTTCTTCTCGTTGTTGGGCTTGGGTCAGCACTGCTGACTTGCTGAGACACGGCTCCAGTCTGGCAAACCCACTCTTTGCCAGACAACCCATTCTCTTGCTTCCAGCGATCTGGCTTCCTGGCTCCTTGGAGCTGTTCTGCTCCCTGAGCCAGAGACCCGTATGGGCAGGGTGCAGGGGAGGTCTCGCTGTCATCCTGCCTGGGCATCAGCACTGGAGCTGAGAAGGGAGGAACAGGACGACAAAGCCACTTTGGAGCCGGTTCCCTGCTCGGACTCTCCTGCTTCACGAGTGGAGACTGGCAGCTCTGAGACCAGCAGCACTGAGAGAGTCTCCTCCACGTGCCAATATTCGCCTCCAAAAGCAAGAATTGCTCCGACTCCCTTGATTGTTGGGTCACGACGGGGTTGCCTCTGTAGTGCAGCCCTGGTTATTTATTGGGTATTATGTGAATCCCAACTCTGCCCCCAAGTTGGCTACAGCTTTGGGGAAGGCTATTTCTAGCAGGCTCTGAGACTTTCTCTAGGCTGGTCTGTAAGGGAATAAAAATGTGTGTGCGCACGCGCGTGAAATGAGGTGCTACAGCAATTCCTGGTACAAAGCCAGGTCTTGGGGTGGGTCTCCCTGGGGTTGCAATTCTGGCCCAGCTAATGGAGCCACCCCATCTCCATAGGGACCTTGTTAGCAGGCAGACAGGCGGGGGTGGAGATGCCCTCGGGGAGCAGACTGGGATGTGAAGACATAGGATACTTGGCACAGGCACCCTGGGGTGCTGCCGGCTTGTTTATGCACCGGTCTCACTCCGTTCTCCTCTCTTCTCTTCTGATCCTCCAGGGGCAAAACCCATTCGACCTGGAATTCACCCAGACAAGCCACCTGGAATCTGTCTTCAACTTCGAGTGCCCAGCCCGCCCCGGTGAGTAGCTCTACAGACAGGGCCTTGCTTTAATCCCAGTGGGGGCAGGGGGTAGAGGTCGGCATGTTGTTAGCTCTGCCTCCCCTCCACCCTCCATTGGGTTTCTTCTCATGGTCCTTTCCTCCTCCCTCTTGAAAACAACTGTCCAATACCAATGTGGTGCAGCTCCTGGTGGAGGTACAAATACCATCTGCCGTGGCGCTCATACAGGAAGGCGCTTGAGCATGGGCCAGACCTCAGGTGCATGGCATCCTTGATGTCCCTGAAGTCCAGGGGCCCAGGCATTTGCTTGGACACATGCCAAAGATGCATATAAATCCCAGAAGGTGTGGCAAGCGTGGGTGCCACCTTGCGATTCATCAGGACCTGGCTTCCTGTCTAACCCTTCCAAAAAGCCCCATTGGGTCCAGAAGTGTCTGACCCAGCCTCTCTCCTCACCATTCATTAAGCTGGTGTCTTGTTTGCCACTCACTAAAGGCTCCTGGGAGCTGGGTCAGTATTTCATGCCGCATGAAGTGCCATCCGTTCTCATATTCCTAAGCGAGAGGTGAATGCAGAGGGGAGTGTTGGGCTGTGCGACCACTTGCATGGTGTTAATGCTGTCTGGATGGCTTTGGTTTGGGACAGACATGCCTTCAAGTCAACCCATCGATATCCCCGACGCCAAGAAGAGGAACAAGAAGAAGAAACGGTGCAGAGCTACAGACAGCTTCTCAGGGCGGTTTGAAGGTGAGCGGTGCGGGGAGTCCTGGGTCTGGGCTGCTCTTTCAGCTGTTGCTCAAGGCTTGGGGGTTTTGAACTTGGAGAAGCTGTTGGGGGGCAGAGAGATGCATTCAACAACAGCTGGGTTCGGGTGGGGGGCTGTTGTAATCCTGTGTCAGGGTGTATGCACTGAGCACTGGGCTTGTGCAGCTTGTACAGGTCTTTCCCAGAATTTGCACAGGAATGAGAGCCTTTCTTTTCCCCCCCACAGATGTTTACCAGCTGCAGGATGAAGTGCTCGGGGAAGGAGCCCACGCTAGAGTCCAGTCCTGCGTTAATCTCATCACCAACAAGGAGTATGCAGTGAAGGTAAGGGCTTGGAGAGGCCTTGGGGTTCAGGGAGTGAGTTTGAACTAGGACTTAGGGCTAGAGCCTCAATCCCCATCAGTGACATTTCTCCTATAGCTTCCCCTGTTATCTTTGTGCTTCAAGTTTCCACTCTCCCCTACCTGCCTTGTCTATTTAGAGCGCGCCTAAGTGCAGAGGGGTGTCTGGTCCATACAGCACCTGGCACAGTGGAGCCCTGAGCAGTCTATAGCTGTAATACAAGTAATGGCATAGGAATGGCAGCAATACCCCTAGAGTAGGAGGTAATTACGTCTCTGTAGGGCTGGTAGTCTCCAAACTCAGGGCTGCTGGTAAGGGCCAGTCCTGGGCACCAAACTCCTGTATAATTTAGCTGTTGTGCCCTTGCTTCTTAATGGGACACCAGTGATGGAGAAGTCTGAGCCAGGCAAGTGCGACTGTCAGTGCTGGGACTGGCCCTGGTAAAACGGGCTGTAGTGCCATGGGTCAAGGGGAGAGCTGGCTGTGCTTGAGTGGCGAGTGCCCTGTAGGAACGGCTTTACTGAGAGTATCATTTGCACTAAGGGGAGATCCCGATGATACTTGGAAAGGACCCCTAGGATGAGCGACTGGTCTGTGTACATGGCTCAGGGTTGTACCTCCTATGAAACCACAAAGCCAGGCTGTGCATGGAAGGGGCACACGGCCTGATCTTGGCATGATCCCGAAGAAAGCCTCGTGGTGGGGAGAGCTGGATTCAGAACCACTGCAGCTTAGTAAGAGAGATGGTGAAACTCAAATGTTATGGGCGGGACAGGGGTCAGTGCAGCTGTCTTCCATGAGATACCCCAGCTTGCAGGGGAGGGACAGAAACCTCCCAGCTGCAGTGCATGAGTTAGGAGCCATGAGACTGTCTAGCCTTGGCTCTGCTACAGACTCACTGTGTGGTCTTGGCCAAGTCACTTCATTTGTCATCTCAGCAAAGTGTGGGGCTGAGACCTACCTAGTTAAGGGAGTTAGGCAGGCTAATGTGGTGTCTGCAAAGCATGTTGGGATTTTCAGAGAGGCTGGACATGGAAGCAGAGGTGATAGCAGGCTAGTGCGTCTCATGCTTGCTTTGGGCGTCTTGACACAAGGGTGCAGCATCTGGGCAAGGAGGTGGGAACCAGAACAAGTCTAGGCAAGCTGGAAACTGCTGATGCTGCAGTGTCTGGGCTTGGGAGACACCGTGCAACATGGAGTTTGAGCTTTAAAAATCATCCTGCTAGACTAGAGAGTAAGGATATTGGGGCTCATGCTGACCCAGCACTTATGGGCTCCCAGCTTGGCGGTCACAAGAGCTTTTGCTTCCAGTGCTTTGCAGTACTTCCACGGAGTAGTGCAGAGGAGCAAGTGAAACGCTTCACTGGGGCACTGAGCAGAGCTGGCACTGCCCCAGACAAAAGCAACTCCTGTTCTGTGTAACTGGAGCAGCAGCAAGTCAAGAGGAGCTGGCTGGTGCGCCTGGTACCCGGCTCCTATTGGCCTCCCAGTGTGGGGCTGCAATGCGCTGGCATCCGGGTGGAAAGGACGGGACTTGGCTGGGCGCATGGGGGGGGGGGGGAGGGGCGGGGCCCCCCCG